CAAAGCTTATTTAAGAGTTAGGTATAAAGCAAGGTAAAAATGAACCAGGAATAAACAAGATGTAAAGAAAGTTATAAAAATAAAGAGGTATTTTTTTGAGGTAAAAAAACTTAAACCAAAATAATTTTATATAAGAAAGAATCTTTGTGGTAAATTTAGTCCAAAAATCATACAACTGGTTGTTTTAAAAGGGGGGATATTCAGGACAAACTAGAAAGTCTGAGCATATCACAAACAGTAAGTGTAAGTCACAATAAGAGAATTCATGCATTTAAAAAAACCCAAAAACTTTAATATAATTAAGTTGTCATATAATTATTAAGTTTTGGTTTGCATAGGAAAACAAAATAGATTTTTTTAAAATTATGGTTATTACATCCATGTATCTTCCTGTATGTGTTTTTAAAGTCTTTGTAACATTGAGTTACAGGGCTTTAACTCCTTGATCTAAAAAGGACACCAAGTCCTGCTAAATCTTAGACACTGACAGCAATTAAAGCTTCATCTTCAGGCCCTATAGAAGATGCTAATCAAAATAAACTGCATTCCTGAGAGGCAGGGTAAACAAAGTAAAGCTATTCAATTCTTCAAGGCCTAGGGACTATTGTGGAAAAGGTGGGTATGTAAGATTGTAAGAGCTGATTTTGAAAGATAAAATAATTTCAGTTTTTCTGTAAGTTAATAATTAGTTTCGAAGGCACACTGAAGCAAAACTAATATATGGACCCCTACATCAGATTAACAAGGTCTTCTTGAAGCATTAGCCAATTCCTTAATAAAGGTTATAAGGGTTATAAAAGGTTTATGGAAGTGATAGTTCATAGCCAAGATTAAATTTTATACATGGCTTACATAATTTTGAAAAACAAATGTAATTCGCTTCATACTGTTTATATTACAGCTTCTTGTTCAGAAAATTAAGTAACCTCTCTCAAAGAATGAAGGTTTTTGCTTTTTAAAATCCCTGAATTATCACTTTTAGTTAAATAAATGTCTTTATAATAACCTTTAATTCTACTTTGTAATATGAAATGTTTTAAACTTTTTATATTGGGCAAATTTCCCAAAATCAAATTATAAATTATGTTTTTTTCTAACTTAATTCATCCTTTAAGACATTAGCTTCCTTCAAGTTCAAAAATGACATAATTTGGCCTATTTGGTATAAAAATTTTACAGAAAGCATTTGTGAAATATGAAATGGTATTTGGTTTTCTTTGGGCTGTGTTTGTATAAATATATTATTGGTATGTATTCCAAAATTATAGGAAACTCCTGTAATTCTGATATAACTTAGTGTAAATTATCAGTAATAATCACAGTTGCTATGTTAAAATTATTATGTGCTACAGACGCAACAAATTTCCATGTCAATTGTGTCTTTTAACTATGGCTGCCTTAAAATTTTGTTTTTCACCCATGGACAATTGTCTTGTTTTGTTTCTCTTTAGAAGTTGGTTTTAAAATCAGCTATAAAAACTCTAACAGGCACTCTTAAACGCAGGTTTCTAATAACTGGAGACTGTGACGTCAGAATAGAGAAAATACTTTTAGGACTCATGGAGAGCTAAAATGTACATGACTATCAAGTTGAATAGGAATTAACTGCATGGACTGAACCAATCTTTTTTGACTTCTGGCTTAAAATGTTTGTTGAGCCTTTGTTTTGTTTTTCAGAGTGTTAAAACTATTTGAGCGATTGACAGCTTTTAATAATTTAGTATACTCCTATGAACAGAGTTTGGAGCATATTTGTTTCTCTCTACCTCATTTCTCCAGAAATTGAAAACTATTTGCAAGTATTCTTAACTTATAGCAATAAGTTATTTGCATAAGTGCAATAAGAATCTGTTTTCATCTGTAAGGAAACAATTGTAGAAGTAGGTTATTTTAACAAGGCTTTGTCAGGAATGATGTGCTTTCATTTAAGGAACTGAACTTGGCTTATGAATCCAATAAAGCCCTTTGGAAAAACTGGCCTCATATTTTGTGTACATAGTCTCTGTACAGGGTTTCTTACCTGTGGCAAGTAAAGAATGTTACTTTCTGACAGGCACAGAAGCCCCAGGTTTATCTTGGAACCTCAAGAGGAGAGAAAATTCACTTAACACATGGGTATTTGATGGCACAAATACATGGATGGGCTTGGCTTTGAAAAGTCTTATTTGGGATCCTCCTATGGAACAAAGTTCCATCAAAGCCAACTTAAAAGCCTATGGAAAAAAATTATTATTGCTGCACTGTATACAAATAATTAGGCCAACTGTAATAAGCAAACCAATCCTACCATGATTTGTCTTTAGTAAAACTGGAATCTGGAGAGAGAGAAAAAATATGTTTTATAATGATTGTATACCTGTTGTAAGATTCTAATCTTGCCTAATTTTTTTCTTTCAATTTTTATTATTTTCTACAATTTGGACCAAATTCTAATTTTTCTTGGCTACAAGTCTTCAAAAGAGTGTTTTCAATTTTTTTCTTTTTCTTTTTCATTTTTCTTAATTTTGAGTCACTGAATACTAAGCTGTGCTTTCTTAAAACCCTAGGAACTGAAGTTTAACAACTTAAGCTTCAGAAGAAAGTAACAGTAAACTATTTACCTACATAAGTCACTTTCTTACCTGACTACTAATGTATGGACTTTAGAGTAATGTGACATGTACCAATTTTCCCAGGATAGTTCTTTTGTTTGTTATTTTCTTCCTTCCTCCCCACTATTTTCTCTCCATAGGACATGAGACTTTACAACATGCTAAACATTAGCTTTTAGGACCTATCCACCTAGAAATAAACTGTCCTAGCTGTAAAAGATCAGATGAAACCTGAGACCAGAGGTTCATTTTCTTATAAAATGCTTTCTCCAAAACATTTTTAAAGAAAAGAGAGGAAATGTGAAAGGAAAAAACCTTGGGCCCTTTCAAGCTGGGAACCACTCAGGACAAATCTGCCTCCCATTCTATTCAAAGTTATCCCTCTGCTTGCAGAGATAGATGCATATTCTGATTGCCTCTTTTGGAAAGACTTCACAGAAACTCAAAAGAATGCAACCATCTGTCTTTCACTTACCTGTGGTCCTGGATGTCCCCAGTGAGGGAGCCTTGCTTTGAATTGTCTTCATCTTTCTGGATTGAACTAATGTGCTTCTTACATATATTGATTTATGTCTCATGTCTCCCTAACATGTATAAAACCAAGCTGTGCCCCTACCACCTTGGGCACACGTCATCAGGACTTCCTGAGGCTGTGTCATGGGCATGTCCTCAACCTTGGCAAAATAAACTTTCTAAATTAACTGAGACCTGTCTGAATTTTTCTGGGTTTACAAGTGATTCAGGACTGTCTTTCCTACCCTCTTTAATGTCTCTTTTAGCAATATGAAATTAAAATCAGGTATTGTGATTGCTAATATGATGTTTGGTACTTATAAAGGTACTTTTTTGTGTGTAGATAGTTGATAAAATTTGGTATTCCTGAGAAAGGAACAATCAATGGATCATTTTATTTTACCATCTTGTTTAACTTTCTTCTTTTTTTAAAAAACTATATTTTTAGAGCGTTTTTCTTGGCAGGTTGTCCTTGAGATTACAGTGTGCATTTTAACCTAAAACAATCTACCTCAGATTAAGACTAAATTAATTACACTAGTATATTAAAATTTTGCTCAAATAAAGCTTCTTTTCACTTTCCTCCTTTGTGCTATGATCAGCACACAAGTTAAATGCTTATATTTCATAAGCCTATTTTATAATTATTGTTTTATGCAGTTATCTTGAACAATGGTCTCAGATGAACATGAAGTTCTTTTTAAGAACTGGAGTAAGGTAATACATGCTATACTTTAGCAAAGAGACTGGTGGCATTTTGCCATTGCCTTAGAGATTTGTGGAACTTTGAACTTGAGAGTGATGATGTAGGGTATCTGGCAGAAGAAATTTCTAAGAAGCAAAGCATTCAAGACATGACTTGATTTATTCTGAAAGCATTCAGTTTTATTTGCTAACAAAGAGATGGTTTGAAATTGCAGCTTATGTTTAAAAGGGAAGGAGAGCATAAAAGTTTGGAAAATTTGCAGTCTGATGATGCAATAGAAAAGAAAACCCAATTTTCTGGGGAGGAATTTTAACTGGTGGCAGATATTTGTGAATTGCCAAAACAATGGGGAAAATGTCTCCAGGGCATGTCAAGGACCTTCACTGCAGCTCCTCTCATCACAGACGCAGAAGACTAGGACAGAAAAATGTTTTCCTGTGTCAGGGTCCTTCTCTGCTCCTTTGTGCAGCCTCAGGACTTAGCACCCTATGTCCCAGCCATGGTTAAGCAGGGCCAACACACAGCTCAGGCTATTGCTTCAGAGAATGCAAGCCCCAAGCCTTGGTGGCTTCCATAAGGTGTTGGGCCTATGGTTGCACAGAAGTCAAGAATTGAGGTTGGGGAACCTTTGGCTAGATTTCAGAGGATACATGGAAATGCCTGGATGTCCAGGCAGAAGTTTGTTGCAGGAACAGAGCCTTCATGGAAAACCTCTTCTAGGACAGTGTGATAAAGAAATTTGAGATAGGAGCCCACACAGGGTTTCCATTGGAGCAGTGTCTAGGGGAGCTGTGAGAAGACAGCCACCATCCTTCAGACCCCAGAATGGTAGACCTATTGACAGCTTACAATGTGTGCCTGGAAAATCCAAAGAAACTCAATGCCAGCCTGTGAAAGCAGCTGGGAGGGCTGTATCCTGCAAAGCCACAAGGGTGAAGCTGCCCCAAACCATGGACTTCTACCTCTTGCATCAGCATGCCCTGGATGTAAAACATGGAGTCAAAGGACATTACTTTGGAGCTTTAAGATTTCATGACTGCCCCACTGGATTTTGGACTTGCATGAGGCCTATAGCCTCTCTGTTTTGGGCAATTTCTCCCATTTGGAATAGGAACATTTAACCAATATTGTGCCCTCATTGTATTTAGGAAGTAACTAGCTTGCTTTTGATTCTACAGGCTCACAGACAGAAGGGACTTGCTTTGTCTCAGATAAAACTTTGCACTTGGACTTTTGGGTCAATGCTGGAGTGAGTTAAGACTTTAGAGGACTGCTGGGAAGGCATGGTTGGCTTTGAAATGTAAGAAGGGCATGAGATTTGGGAGGGGCCAGAGGTGGATTAATATATCTTGGCTCTGTGTCCTCACCCAAATCTCATCTCAAACTGTAATCCCTATACGTTGAGGCGTAGACCTGGTGGGAGCTGATTGAATCATGGGGGTGGTTTCTCCCATGCTGTTCTCATGATAATGAGTGAATTCTCACAAGATCTGATGATTTTATAAGGACCTTTTCCTGCTCACTCTCTCCTTTCACTTTGTGAAGAAAGTCCTTGCTTCCCATTTGCTTTACGCCATGATTATTTGTTCCTGAGGCCTCCCCAGCCATGCAAGACTATGAGCCAATTAAAACTCTTTCCATTATAAATTACCCAGTCTCAGGTATTTCTTAACAGCAATGTGAAAATGAACTAATACACTTTTGAAGTTTAGTTTTGTTAGATATATAATGTTACTCAACACCTTTTTCTTTCAACACTTTGAATATGTTATCCCACCTTCTGCTCCTATTGGTTTCTGTGAGAAGTCCATTATTAATATTATCAAGGAGCACTTGAGTTACTTTCTCTCACTGCTCTCAAGATATTGTCTGTGTCACTGATATTCAGCACTATGATATGATGTGTTTGGGTTGGATCTCTGAGTTTTTCCTGCACAAAGGTTGTTTAATGAGTTTTGTGGATTTGTAGATTAATGTTTCCAATCAATCTAAATAGTTTTGGGACACCATTCTTCAAACATTTTTCTTTTTATCCCTTTTACACACTTCTCTCCTTCTAGGACTGCCATTATGCATGTTCTGGAACACTTAATGATGTCCCACAGTTCTCTGTTGCTTTGTTAAAGTTTCCCCATTCATTTTTTCTTTCTATTCCTAAGAGGATAATTTCAATTAATTTATATGTAAGTTTACTGATTATTTCTTCTAACTTCAAGTTCACTGATTCTTCTGCCAGGTTAAATCTTCTGCTAAACCCTTCTACATAATTTTTCATTTCAGTCTTACAGTTTTTAACTCCAAAATATCTATTGGTTTGTGTTGTCATAATTTCTCTTTGTTGACTTATTTTTTTTTAATTAAATGTGGTTTAACGTGGTTTCTTTTGGTGCCACATCTGGACTCCCTTGAAGAGTGCTTCTGTGGACTGTTTTGTTTGTTTGTTTCTGTTATGTGCTATACTTTCCTGTTTATTTTCATGTTCTGATTTTTTGTTGAAAGGAAGAATTTAGATAATATAGTTGATTCTCTTTATGGTAGTTATGCTCTATAAAATTACTGCAAATGCTGAATTAGAGAATTAGAAAATATTGTATTATTGCTCCTGTGAAATATATGTACCTATGTATATATGTATATGTGTGTATATATATATATATATACACATGTGCACACACACACACACATATTATGTATAACACATAGATTAGAATTTTAACAACTGAAAACAATTTATCCTGGTAGACTTTTTAAAAAATGATTTGCAAAAGAGGAAATAAGATTCACAATTATTAAGCGACTTGCCTGAGGCTGCCCCACTACTGTCTTAATCCTGTGGCCATCTCTGTCTGAGAGCTAAAACAAGAAGGCAGAGAGTGTCATCTTTGATCTCAGCTAAGAACTTGTACATTGGGTACTCAAACCTTTCATCACTCTATACATTTATAGTCATGTGAGCAACTGTGAAAGTACTTCAAGTATTGATTTTGGAGTTACAAACAAATAGTTAGCAAGTAGGGAAATTCAAATATATAAATCTCTGCATAATGGAAATTGTCTGTATATTGTAGCAATTCTGGAATCAGACTCCCTTTTGTTAGTGCTGTTTTGTTGTTGCTGCTGCTGTTTTTGTTTATTTACTGACTTAACAAGATTAATTTTGTAGAGTATCTATTCCCTACAGTGTGTAGCCAATGAAATCTTTGTTTTTTTAATTTTTCTATAAATTAATTAATTTATTTTATTACTTGTATTTTAAAATCTGTATTTATTGAATTCAACCTAGGTCAGCATAGCCTAGTGATCAGTTAATGATTGCGCAAAAAGATTTTCTTGGGCCACTAAATCTTCCACATTGTTCTAAGGGATCTGTGTATATGGGGGTGCACCTTCTAAGTTTAATCAGTTTACGTGTCTGCAATAGCTTTCACTTCCTGCTTGCACAGTTCACCAAGGTCACCAGACATGAATAAATAACCAGTGACCCATTCAGTCTTTACTGAGCACATTCATAGGCATACAAGTACTTGGACTTCTTGAGCTCCAGTAATGGACTGAGGCTTTTCAAAAACCTTTGGGATTGTGTTATTGCTTAGATCTTCCTTTCAAATTCTTAGCCAACTGATATTGCAGCCTTAGGCAGTTGTAATTATTGCAAATAATTGTACTTGTTTTTGACAATGACCTGAAAATGAGACTTTCCTGTTGAGCTGAACTCCAAGTCAGGCTAAATAGCAATGGTCCCCTGGAAATGGGACTTTTCCAGAGGACTCTGAGTATAGTGAAATACTGATAACACTCTGGGGGATGGTGTCATTTGCAGAGCTCCAAAATGGATCAGCTCCTTCCAGTCGGTATAAGGCTGATGGTTGGGAGAGTTACCATGCCATGGACCTGAGTTTGGGATGGGAATATCCCCAAAATAAAATGCCACAGACTCTATTTTTGTTATAAAAATCTAGTAATTTTGCTAAACCTTTTCTACTTTGTTGTATGTGTTTGGTTAATTTCTAGAGTTCTGAAATGGTCAATTTTGATAACTTTAATAATATTTTCTTTGTTTTTAATGGAGAACATTTAGCAAGTTCCTTATTCTGCCATTCTGGAAGTTCTATTTCAAGAAATTATTTTTATTACTTTGCCTGGAAACTAACATTCATAACAGCAACCTAGATTTTTTTTTTTTTACCATCATATTATGTTTATCTCTATACCTTCCCTAGCTAAACCAATAAGCTAATCACTTTTAATGTCATTTTTTTCCAGTTATTCAACCAGGTTTTGAGCACCCACACTATGCACAATACTTTGCTATTTACTGTGGAGCATATTAAAGAAAACTTCAGACGTCTACCTCATCCTCTAGGACTTTACAGTCAAATTGAATAAGATAGACATAATACAAATAGATACAAAACTTGAATTATGTAATGAGTTCCATAAAATGTTAGATTTAGGTAACTCAAAAAGTTCTAAGAAGTTTTACTGTGTCTGAAGACATCATAGAATGCTTCATGAAGTTGTGAGATAATACATTCATGAATGAGAATATTAACCTATTCTAATTTCTGAATATAGTTTTTTGCATGTCAAATAGCCCAAAATGTTACATGAGGTACTGACCAGGTCAATGTGGAGATATGTTAGAGCAAGCAGGTTTTCAGCATCCCTCAAATTTTGCTATATCTGTGGCATCCTAAAGAAATTGGCTTATGGCATCATCATTCTCATCAGTAATTATTTATTTTAAAGATAATAAAATCATTTCATTTTTTCCTGTGCAGTAGTGAGTCATTATCACTCATTTGAAAGTTATTATGAGAAATACTTTTTCATTGAAGGGTAAGGGTAATATTCCACACAGCTGGAGAAAACTAAAAGCAAAAGTTAGTGTATTAACAGGACCAACATTGCAACTGTTTCCGTGATAAGAAAGTGTTAACTTTTATTTCATCTGTGAGCAAGCTAGTCATGTCCATATTTGGTGCACTAGAAGATGCTGAATGAACAAATGGGGCATCTGTGGAAGCCCAAAAAGAATGAACATCTTCCAAATAAATGTCTGGACAAAATAAACAATCAAGAAACAGGTCTGTTCAACTCCACTGTGGGATCTAAAAATAGGTATACATGAAAATAGAGTCAAGTGTTTTACAAAGTGCCTTGGCAATAAGAAGTGCTATTTCAGTGAGGTGTAAGTCCTAGGAATTCAAAGAGTTGAGCAAAGCAACTAAATGGCTAAGCTATAAACATGGTTTGCTAAAGGGAGACACATTAGTAATAATGACATGCATGGTGGGAACCCCTGCATACAGCACCATAAATCTGACTAACTAATGTAAGCAAGACAAAAACCAGGAGCTGAAACAAAAGATCTGAAAAACTTGCTGAAAAAAGTTCAGTGCGGAACTGTGAATAACTTCGTAAGAAGAGTAATAGACAATGCCAGCCAGTCTTTCTACATGACTAGAGCACTATAATTTGAAAGTACTCAAATAAAGATGAAATACTAGATGTTGAAATGCATTTTGTGTGTTTACTGGAAGGTGGTTGATGTTAATCCTTTTAAATCTCTGTTCAGTATTAAAGCTTAGAGAACCCTTCATATGGCAGCAAGGTGTCATTTTTCAAAGGGGGTGTAATGGAAGGATAATCCTAATATTTGTTGTTTGATTTTTTAGTCCTCATTCAGCTTATGTGAAATTGAGACTCATTTTGTACGCTGGTTATGAAACATTATAAATCTCAACATTTAACCAAAGCACACACAAGGGTGAGTTCTAAATTATCCATTATCTCAAGTGAGGGAGTTAAGATGATAAAGGTAGCCTCAGCTCCAATAATGATGTTGCCATTTTCCATAAATGTGCTACTTTCTGGATGTCTTAAGCTATCAAGAATTTTTTACAATAACATATTTATTAAGCAGAATAAATCTGGATACCACAACAAAGACGACCACTTGAAACTTTGGCCGCTGCATTTCTCTCTGGGGGACACTTTATATAGTATAAAATAGCACAGAATCCTCTTGTTTACTTTATGTCACACAGCAGCACTTGAATTTCAAGCCAGGTCTATTGATGTTAATCTGTAATTCTTCTAAGCATGCCAGGTATGGTACCTAATTTTATGCGTTGACTTGGTTAGCCTGTGGCGCTCAGTTTTTGGCTAAACACCCTTCTAGTTGTTGCAGTGAAGGTATTTCTTAGATATGATTAACCCTTAAATAGATAAACTTTGAGTAAAGCAGATTACCCTCCAAAATATTAGAATCCCCACA